CGTCGGAGGCGGCGACCCAAGGCTGCTTGGCGGACCCAAATTAAACATTTTCTTCATATTCTTCGTCGAGATACTCCCGACCCAAATTTAAAATAGCCCTGTTTTCATAAAATTGTGTGCGCTGGTTACAAAATCCTAAGGAATTAAACTTGTGATTTCAATGTTCAACATTGGAAAACTTTCAAGAAAAATTGCAAATCTCATCATTCAAGGTCGCAGACCGGCCCCTTCGGCTACTCCGCAGGCAGCCCCCCTCCCCTCTCATTTAACATAAGAATTACAAGTATGGTTCCTGAGGATTTTTCGATCGGCGCACACGATTTTCTGAAAACGGACCTATTCTAAATAGTGGGGCCGATAAGCGTAACAATCGTGCACTTCTGGAAGAAAGCGTGAAAATTTCAGGGATTCATCTCTACCCTATAGACTTTCGATTTAGACCTAGACCCCAAGAATCTGAGCCCCCTGGGGGGGGCAGGGGGGCCCCCAAATTTTGAATTTCGTATAACTACTGAACGGCTAATGTTAGCGTATTTTTTTTTACAGCAGGACGATGGGAAATTTTATTAGGAACAAAAATGGTTCTAATGAACACATATGGTTCTAATGGTAGAAATGAATTTTTCTGTGGGATCGATATTTAAGGCGTAAAACGCGAAAAACCATCGGGGGACGGGGAGCCGGCCGTTCTGAGGTAGATCCGCGCGCTGCGCTGCCTGCCCGGGACGCGCGCGGCGGCAGAGTACGGTGTTCCCGACGAAATAGCCGCTTGTCTCGGTTTAATCTCAACGGTGCGCAGTTTTAAAAATATTATAAATGTATCGTACTACCTATAAAGCCTTAAAATAGGGCTTAATTTTTGCAGGTAATATATGTATACAAGTGAGCGCACGGCAAAAGAAGGAGAAGGAGAAGGAGAAGGGGCTAAGTGCTGGAGTTCGGGGATGTTTTGTTGTACGGGTTTGTCAATTTTTATTAAAGCATCCGAGATAACTGTTTCAGACATCAGTTGAACGGAATAAAATCTGACGCACAGTTGTCTCGTGAAGGGGGGGGGGACTAAAAATCACAAATCTTTTTTGTTAACCACGATGACCTGAAAAATTATTTTAAAGTGTTTTTTTTTTCTCTCTCTTTTTCTCGGTGCTGCGCCACCAGAATGATATCTAAATATGCTTACATACCCTAAAGTTCCCGGGAGACGGCTTCCAGCCAGACTTTTGAGACAGGGAAACTAATTTTGTAAAAAATGAGTATACATAAAAACATGCTTATTCTCCTCTCTTTAAGGAACATATTGGTACATCATTGCTACGTATAGGCATTTTTTAAGAGGACCAAAACCACCTTCAAAACTTGCTCCGAAGAAACGCCAAAAGAATCTTGAGAAAGCTTGATAGGGATAAAAGACTAGGGGTGTTCAAACGAATTCTTGCCGGAACACTATCGACATCGTCTCTTATTGAAACTGGCGGCAGTACCGACAGTGGCGATGATATCGACAACAGCCGGCCTTATCGGAGTTTTGAGAGCTCGCACTTAATGCATTGTTGCCCTGTGTGTCGGTTTATCAGATTGCCTGGCGCGGCGGCGCGTAAAATAGATGTACAAATGGCAACATCTTATTTTCGCCAGCTCCGAAAACTCTGATCGCTATAGACGCTATTAGTGCAACGTCACAGAAAAGCGATATCTATCGATTTTTCCGCATTGGTAGCATTGAAAGAGGTTATGCCAATGATATTGTTTGGATCCAATTCGATATAATGGAGAATCCCTATGATGACGTCGCCACTAATAGCGTCTATCGGCAAGAGCGCTCTTATCGTAACTTTTTCTTAACGGAACTGTTTCGGTAGCTTACCGACAACCGATAGAACAGCCCTATAAAAGACCCTCAAAAACATTCGTTGGACTGCTTCCTGTACAGTACAAAGAATATTATTAAGTAATAAATAGCCGCCAATATCCGCTAACCTGCAAAAACGTTCCATTTGAGTCATAGGAAGTCGCGCCTACTGGGGACCTATCCTGTTCTTATGTCGTCAATTAAATCGCGCATCATTCGATATCCCGCAATCTCGGTAATTTTGCAACTGATTACTAATTACTGATTTTGACGAGAAATTAACCTTTTGATAATCTCTAAAGCTAATTCGATCAGTGTTAAACTGTACGATAAAGTTTAAGGTGTACGTTTTGTGCACTGCATATTTTGCAAGTCCCGTTTCTTGACAATTTTCTCCGACACACTTACAAATCAAAAATCGGTACGAGATTTGGTGGATTGAAAAAGAAGAAATGTAATGAATTTCCTCCTGACGTACTGGTCCTTCTCAAAGTTCTTTAAAGGATCAGAACCTGCATGATAAATAAATTTCCTCCTACATTAATATTTTTTTCAATACAAATGTTACCAACTCCACTCCAAACTCCGTAGAACAAAATGAAAAATAATATACATGGATTTTTTTAGTACTCATTCCATTTTTTATGTCTCGTGGAAAGTACCAATAATATCTTCAAGGGTGACTCGATAAAAAGAAGCGATAGGATTCAGATATCTTCTTTTAGTGTATTTTCCGAAGGAAATACACTATTTTATTATTCATAATAATGTATTGTTCTATTTTTTGAAATATGCATATTTGTTGAATAACTGAAAGAGTGGGGAGTTCATGAAAATGAAAACTTCTATTCACTGGCTGGAGGAAAAAAGAGGAGAAAAGAACATTGTCGGAATGTTTCGTATGTAACCTGTGCAATTGCGAGAAACCAATTAACATGAACGAAAAACGATATTGGAGGAAAATGAAGGAAATCTGGTATCCTTGGTGGCGAAGGGAATGTGAAGCCCCCCTCTTTACTCCTCAAGTAATGTCTTAGCATCAAGTTTTGCAAAATTCTTGCTTATGTAAGCAGCCTATGGTCCCATTCGCCGAAAGTAACGTGGAAAATAAACTAAAAATAAGTTAGGTATCAAGGATCCGCCATTTCCAATAGTCAATAAAAAGTGGGTCAAAATCGTATATTAAAACTTGTTATTTCGTTCTAATATCTTAAAAAATGTAATCCTTTACAAAACTTACGTGAGGAAAGGGTAATACACTCTGTACTGAGATCGGAAAAGCTCTGTATTCAGAGAAAACAAGACACGTGATGCGCGATGACCGACCCGCCCTCTTATTGACTCGGCACTTTTGCATTGGAGTATTTCGCCTTTTGCTTGTTTTTATGTGTTACTAATAAAAAGTAGAGCTTATATCGCTATGGAAAAGTATTTAGGCAGTACAGTAAATTCATAATTATTTTTAAAACTGCGCACCGTTGAGATTAAACCGAGACAAGCGGCTATTTCGTCGGGAACACCGTACTCCGCCGCCGCGCGCGTCCCGGACAGGCAGCGCAGCGCACGGATCCGCCTCAGAACGGCCGGCTCCCCGTCCCCCGATGGTTTTTCCCGTTTTCACGCCTAAAATATCGATCCCACGGAAAAATTCATAAGAACCTGTTTTGTTCCTAATGAAATTTCCCATCGTTCTGTTGTAAAAAAATTACGCTAACATTAGCCGCTCCGTGGTTATTCAAAATTTGGGGGCCCCCCCGCCCCCCCAGGGGGCTCAGATTTTTGGGGTCTATGTCTAAATCGAAAGTCTATAGGGTAGGGATGAATCCCTGAAATTTTCATGCTTTCTTCTAGAAGTGCACGATTGTTATGATATTTTCCTTTTATCGGCCCCACTAAAACATTGATCGCAAATATCTCGGAGAAAAATATCGTAGCCCTCCACTTACGTCATTTTTTATCATCTTTTTGGAATCGCCATTAGAAATAGGGAACACACTTTATTAACAATTTTGAACTCCCTTTCCGTATACCACTACTATGCAACCCAACCCACCCCCCTCATTAAATATACACATAATACTTACTAGACTCTCCTCCACCCCCTAAAATATCCCATAAATTGTTGGAAGACTAGAACTTATAGCTGGACCAAATTCGAAGTTTCTTTAAAAAATAATGTGACATGAAAACTTTACTAATAAAGTTTAATAAGAGAGGATAATATGAACGTATTAATAGTATGCTTCACAGACCAGTAAGCGGCTATTATTACTTGGCAAGTAAGTACCGGCGCACGTGAACTTTACCAATATTTATTGGTTTTTAACTAACAGTGACCGTTAAATAATGATGTAATACTTTGCAAATATCTATGACAAGAAAAAATCCTTTAATTGATACCACTAATTTCTGCATTTATATCCAAGCAGTGCGTATCAAAGTAAATAAAAACCCAGAGACAAAATTTTGTAATTGATCACTTATCACTGTGATTACTGATTGTGGGGGTTTTTCTGTGTATAGCACAAGTTTCCTGCTTATTTATCTTAATTGTATCAAAACGAGACATATTAGAAAGCTGGTATTGCGCCAAAAAATGACGCAGTTTTAGGCAAGACAGCAGTAAGTGACAATATTCCTCCAAAGAGCCAATGAAACGGTGGTTTCAAGTAAAGTGCCGCCCTCTAGAAAATAACTCACATCTATCGCTCAAATCCCCCTCTCACTATTTCACCTTATTAGGTATCTTGTAACTATAAATCTCTTCCCCTCCTACCTTACCTAGTTGCCCTTCTGTATGTTTTTCATGGCTTGGTCTTTTTGGGCCAGGAAGTCACCTTATGGAGCCTTAGGGTGTGAAGATGGTGGTAGCGTAGTGCCTCTTTCACCACCTGTTGCCTTTTTTCCCCTTTTTTATACGTGTCACAATCTAAAATTTATTTCTGTTCACCCATAACCAAACCTCCGTCACTTTAACATGTCTGAAGTTGGCTGGAGGCTTCACAGGGATTAAAGCCAGTAAACCAACAGTAAAACTAGGAAAAAAGAGAGAAATGATGACTGAAAGTCTATAGCATCCCAAACGGAGATACCTGGTCTCATACTTTAACCATTGATATGTTTCCTCCATCTGTGCAATATTTTATTTCAGATTTGGTCCATCAATTCATCAAAATCGGGTGAATATTATGTGGGTTGCACTTTGTCTTATCGGTCTTACCACAGCAGTCATCTCAGCTGTTGTGTACCTTGCATGCAGTAATTATGAAGAAATCTTTCCTGAATCCAAACTAATCGAGATGGACTTGATCATTTTTGGCCCTCAAAAAGTGGTTAAAGGTAGGTTTTTCCTCCTATTTTTTGTCTTGTCTCAGCAGAGTATCTAATAATAATTCTTCTTTGCAAGTCTGACCTCAGAGCGAAGGTTTTGTCCTCTGCATGCTGTAATTTATTAACAGTCCTTAAACCTCCCCCCCCCTCTTCCCAACCAGTAAATCAGTAGCATTGTTTGTTTCTTTTCTTCTTAATTGTGCTGTTTCCAGGTATTCCAAAAAAATTTGCTGTGTGCCTCTCAAGTGCAAAAAAATCCATAAAACCCCAACAACAATCACCATAAAAACTCATTTGGCTTGCTGTTAGGAGTTTTTTTATAAGATTTGTCACGGTTTCAGACGGGGTCAGAGTGGCGTAAGGAACATCACATTAATTATGTAAAAATCTTGGTAGATTTTGAATTTTCAGCCAAAAAAGAACATTAGCCCCTGGGCAAGAGCCTGAAAAATCATACTGAGCCAAAAAATTGCCTAAATTCAGAGAAATCAAACCAGATCCTTTTTGGGGAAAAAACTGTATTGATCTCTCTCCATTTTACAAATTTTTGGATTTAGAATGATTCTTCACTTCTTCAGGCTCATTCACACGGGTTCTCTATCTAATTTTGCCTAAAAATCCAAAATCTGCCAAGATGTTTACTTTATTGATGCGATATATATTGCATGCCTGTTCGCCCTAGCCAGATATCTTGACGAATCAATAGTCCAGTCAAAATAGATCAAATATCCCAGATTAGGGGAGCGATTTTTGGCTAATGTCGCTTGTTGGATTCTAGAGAGGCACAGGCTAAAAGTTCCCGTCAATATCGCCTGTGCTTAGCCCCCCAGTTCCCACACCACCCACCACCCATAAGCCTAAAAAATACATTTTTCGACTATATCTCAAGAACGGTTGGAGATAGCGAGTTGGGTCCAATTAATTGGAGAAATATTCCTCATCTAATTCGGTAGATAAGTTTCCTAAACTTAGAAACCTCTCCGCTCCGGGCACTCCGTGACCCTCAGAATGGCTGCTGCGGCCATCCTCTGGCCGCGTTGGGATGTCATAGCACGCTTCCTCACCGTAGACGCATCAGCACGGCTCCAGGCCGCGCTGGTTGCTGCGCTGTCGAATATCTCAACCAGGGATTTAGAGCTGAGGATTGAGGGAGCATCATAAACGGAGCGGCATCGGCGCGAAAGGCGGAGGCCCGGCGCGGACTTTCATGCCGCGTCGAACAGTGCGCCGGGGGAGCGCATTTGCCGTTGAGGCGGCTTAACCTGGTGAAGCCGACACCCGGCATGACTTTTTGATGCTGAGTCCAGCATCAAAATTGGGGCGGCTTCAATTAGCAGAAACGTCGGACGTCAGCACCCCGGTCGGCTAATCGCACCGGGCTGTGTTTTCAACCCTTCCTCGGCGTCCACTTCTTAGAACTTCTCGGCGAGACGTGGCGTGGGCCGCCGCCAAGACAAAGGGGTGTTCCGCGAATTCATCGCCAAGTCCAAGGGTCGCATACCCCGGCGGTCTTCTGGGACAGCCCCGTCGGTAATGAAGCTGGGTGGCGGGACCGAAAATTGATGCTGTATTGGGCCGCGAGCCGAGGGTCCGGCCTCAAAAGTTGAAGCCCATGTTGGTCCCTGAGCCAGCATCAAACCTCAGCATCAGCGCTTAATGCTGGCTCATTCGGCACGCCAGCATTGGGCTTCAATGCCCGAAGCCGGCGCCTGCAGGTTGCGCGCATAAGGCGCGGCGCGGTGCCGCATGCCCGCACGGCCGCTACCTGCGCATACGGCATTAATGCTGAAGCTACGAGTCGATGCTGTACGGCATAACCTCATGAAGCGCCTCAAATGCCTGATCTCAACCTCCTCACTCCCTCACTCTCTACATATGCCTGGAGTTTACATGATGTGCCATGATAATGTACACCTACCTTGTTTGCTGTGCAAAATTTTGTTTTAAGTCGGTAAGTTTAATGCTTGAAACATAGCCGATGAACGAAATACAACTTCATATCACGGAAACGTGGATTGATGACACTTTAATCCTAATCATTGCATTAAATATGTGTGCGGTGGTCATTTCAAATCATTTGTAGACATCATTTCGCGAATTTTGAAAACATCAAAGATCAAGGGCGGAGGAGGAGGGCGGAAAAAAAGGAATTCAATAGCGGTCGGATAAAGATAAAAGAACAACATTTACCTAATCATAATTAGGGGATCGGAGAACAAGGTGCATGAGTGCAGAAATGATGTCCTTAAAATGGCGGGAAATTGCCGTTTTTCCAATTCTTCAACTGATTTGCTTCTAACTCGGCAAGCGGCAACTTGGGAAATTTCCAAACACCGGACGCGAATTTGACTTATTGTCTAAAAATTACTTAAACCTCTATAAAATGGCGGGAAACTGCCGTTTCCTGATTTCCCATTTGCCTTCGTAAAGGACCCCGCACACCTCTTATAAGAAGGTGCACCGTGAAGAAACCTTAATTTTTTCATGGCATTCGATTCTTCTCGAGGATGCTGATGAAAAGTTATCATTGCGCCAACTTTCTACGATGCACCGTTTTCGCAATAAAAACGGCTGAGAATATTCAACTTTTCGGCGACAGTGAATAAAAAAGAACAAAGCATTCGAGAACAGGCTCGATGTAAATAAGGAACAAGTCGGTTGTTTCAGGATTATGAGTTCACGAATGACGTTTCCAATGCTCATGCTGGGCATTGGATGATGTTCTCCCAGGAAAGTGTAAAGTCTCCGAATACGTACGTTACTACATTTTTTTAAATTGTACGGGTTCGACAAAATTAATGATCATTTAGGTATTCCTTTGTAACCACCACATTCCTCTTATTTAATTATTGTCCCAGTTTGATTTTTGTTGCCATCTTGAAGTTTTGTGACGTCAGGCGGGTACCAGTCTTGCTAGGCGACTACCGAATCTGTAATGCGTAGCCGGCGTAGCGCGCGTTTCAAATCTTTGCCTGTTCTCATCAAGATGAGGGTGCGATGTTGTGTTGTTTTGATTTGAGGATATGAAGCAACGCATTTCGTAACACGGTATTACAAGCTTTATTGAAATAAGACATGGAGTTTTGGACTGAGGCTGTTTACATTCTCGAGGCCTAGATACGAACTGAACTGGGTAAGAGCAACAACGGTGAAGCCACCGCGGGGAAAAAATGCAAGTATGTGCGCCTTGCACTTTTCAGTGCATTGTTGCCGATTTACGGCTGAAATTACTTATATATTACAACACCCCCCCATAATGAAGGCGTATAATCGTTTCGTAAAATTTTAAAATTATAACCAATCCCAGTCTCCTTACGAGAGACTCCCTACAGTCTCCTTACGAGAGACTCCCTAGCCTCGTCTTACAAAATTGTTTTGTTAAGTTTAGTTATTTTTTCTTATTCTAGTTACAACAAAAAAAA